TACAGACACAGGCGAAGTTCAGCCACGTCAATCCACATCATGCAAAGCCAAGTAGAAGCAAGTTCGGCAAACATTCTGACGAATGGTATCTAGCTTATCAGTGGTTTAATCATTTACAAAATCGCGGAGTTACACGAAAGTTACCTTGTTCAACGCACGCAGAAGTCGACAGAACTCAGCTAGGCAGCTAGGAGGAGATGAAGACCTTTTAGTGGCAATACTACGCAATGCCAAATGTAAACTAGTAGACCGATTGCAGTGGATGAAGTTGGATTCAAACTTTGTAGTGTAGATATGACATTGCAGTTTCCATTTGGACCACTAGACGTATCACGTGATGTGCCAGGCGAATCTATTGCTTGTTGAATCGGAATCTAACGTTGAGGTGGATGCGCGCGAAAACTATAGCACAAATCCCGATAGTGACTGATTTAAACAATTTGATTACAGTGGTTTTGAAATGACGAAATGTCCCCACCTCCAAGCGTTTCACGAAATAATAATTTCCTTTTCCATGGAACTTGCCAACGTGCCTTCGCTGCTTCAATCAACGGACTGGGCCGTACCCATCTGCGACGACTAAACGCGTAGGGAACGAAGATAAATGAGGTGCAACAAGTTATTTACACATCGCGGATAAGCGTGACTCTGTGTGTGTGCGTGTGCGTGCGTGTGTTCCACTTTTTGCGGACTTCGAAAAACCAAAAAAACTGTCCCTTCGGTGCCAGATTCGGGCAGCTTTGACACGACAGTAGTCAGACCGAAACGCAGCCTCCCACCAGACACCGATTAAAACGAGGAAAAAGCAGTCATGTAGTTTACCCCTTCTTTAGCGCAAAAAACGAACTCAACTTAGTTACGCAGACTTCGACAACTATCTGTCAATGCGTGGAGGACAAATTTGCCCAATTGTTGGTTTTTTCGTTTGTTTCGGGTGCGGGGATTCGTAGAATCGTTGCTTCAAAGACTAGAGTGTCTCCCATTGAATCGACAATCCGACTTCCTCAAGACCATCACCGACATTGTAGGATGTATTTGTGTGTTTGTGGCAACGGCTTTGATGTGCCGACGGACCTGGAGTAGATTGTTGGAGTCACTTTTTTTCATGAATTAGTCGCTGTCGTCAGCGATTCAAGAACGATGTGCAAGTGTAGTAAATAGCGTTGACCTGGATGATGCGTCATGGTTATACATTAGGTAGGAGATTTCACTGAAACCCCACAAAGTTTTCCGGCACTTAGTCGAATACAGTTGCCCTCTTTTTTAACGAAGATGTTATTGAAGAATCACGCAAGATTTAAAAATGGCAATTGATAGTTAGTTGTGTGTATTTGATTTGTATTTTTTTTATTTTATCCTTTCTTTGGCTGGTGGTCACTGCCGTTGGAATTACAGTATTGCAGAACAAAAGAGAGTTCTTGAAAAGCAATTGGCAAACCATTGCGGCAAGCACCTAAACTCAACTCACAATTTGGTTGAGGTGAGAAACTGATGTCCATTTTCGCGGTTAAACTCTTTTTTTTAGTGGACAGCCAAAACCCACCTTGATTTCGAAGCGTTCACTCCCCCACGCATCGAGGAGCCTCAAGTTCCGCCAGACGATGAGGGTCACTCTGAAGGTCTCCCGCAAGTCTGGGAAGAGGACTTCGACCCGGATGTGGTAATCGATCGGACGCGTCTCGCTGACTTCCGCAACCGCACGATTCGCGTGGTGACGATTTGGTCGAGGCCGTTTGTACAACCGAAGTCGCACAATACCGGCGGCCCCGAGCCCCTGGGAGTCGATCGTTTCGAGGGCTTCTGTGTTGATTTCCTGGAGGAGATAAGCAAAATTGTTGGCTTCAAGTACGACATCCACATCGTCTACGACGGCATCTTTGGCACGAAGATTGGCGAGTTGCCACCGGAGCGTGTGGAGGTCCTGTCACGGCGACCACTTAGCAACAAGATCGAACGACGCGTCAAGACGAGGCGGCTGCAGGTGTGGAATGGCTTGATTGGCGAGATTCTCAATAACACCGCCGACATAGTGGTGGCTCCACTAACCGTCAACTATCTGCGGGCGCGAGTAGTCGAATTCTCAGAGCCCTTTCTCGCCTTCGGTCTCTCCCTCATCATCAAGAAACCGGGAAAGCAGAAATCTGGGAGTTTCTCCTTCCTGCGTCCACTCTCCAACGGGGTCTGGTTCGCAATCTTCGGCGCTTGGATTACCGTCAGCTTGGGGCTCTACATCATCGCGAGAATCAGTCCCACGGAGTGGCAGATGAAGATTGATCCACAAACCGGCAAGAGGTATTACGGCCGTCAGTTCACCTTGGGCAATGCAATTTGGATATCTTTCGCGGCGTTTGTGCAACAGGTAGGTAGGTGTTACTTTCAAAGCATTTCTGGCCGATGGAACGTGTAGCCTGTTTTCCAGACATGCATTCACAACAAACGCCTCGCGTTGTCGACCATTGTGCCCTGTGTAGGACCAGATTATTTCAGTTTTCTGATCCACACGTCTGGTGTTAGGCAGGCGAGTTTGTTTGCACTGGATTTGATTGGTTGAGGTGTCAAGGTAAAGCTTTGGTTGGTCGGTTTCATGTGGTTAATATTCCTACTATTATTTTCAAAAATAACCAAAACTTTGTTTTTAAAGGAAGCTCAAAATTTAAATAAGGGGTGCCTCCACAACAGTTAGAGAAAGTAATGTTTCAAAAACAGGCCTTCAATTAAACGAAATTGGACGCTAACCACCAGGGAGTCATCACGTTGTACTTGACCAGTTTGCGAAATTCGACATACTGAAGCCAACCTTGCAATGGATGGTTCAACCCACTTTTGATTGTTACGCGTGTGTTCACAGTCTGGTTACGAATGGAGACTATCAACCAGTATATGTACAAATACATAATTGGCGAAATGTTGGGCAGAGGACGAGTGTTGGCATGAGCAATGCAGACAGCGCAAAATTGGAAGATGAGGCTGGTAGACGTGGAATTTCTGGCAGAGAAATGCACTGAGCGTGTCACGCAACTTCCCGTTGCAGGGTGTGGACTTCGCACCCCGCGCTCCCGGCTCCAGACTCCTGGTTTCGGTTTGGTGGTTCGTCACGCTCATTCTGATCGCCTTCTACACGGCTAACCTCGCTGCCTTCCTCACCATCTCCCTTCGAGTGCCGCCCATCAACGGCTGGTCGGACCTGCTGAAGTCCGACATGGAGTACGGCTCTCTGAGCTCGGGTTCAACGCGTGACTTCTTCTTCAACACCAAACTCGAACCCTTCGCGCAGCTGGGCGCGTGGATGAAGCAGAACCAGCACGCTCTCGCCAACTCCTTAGAGAAGGGTGTGGAGAGAGTGCGTTCTTCGAAGGTGAGTCAAGGTCATCGTTGAGATGGACGAACTTCCATTGTCTTGCTGTCAGTGTGGTTTGAGTGAGCAGTCTTCAAGCTCGCCTCTGTCTTCAAGGGAAAATACGCCTTCGTGTTGGAATCCGTGATGAACGAGTACGTGAACAACAGGGAGCCCTGCGACACAATGATGGCTGGAAGCCCCTTTGGGAACTATGGATACGGGATTGCTCTTCCGCGGAAGTCTCCGTTGAAGGAGGCCTTGAGCGACGCAGTCCTTCAGCTTAGAGAACGCCAGGTTCTGGCGACGTTGCGGAAGAAGTGGTGGATAGAACGGGGCCAGTGCTCGGCCGACGGCGACGGTGATGGCGACATGTCGGAGTCGAACGCCCTCGCACTCATCAACGTCGCTGGCGTCTTCTATGTCCTAGTGGGAGGATTGTTGCTGGCTCTGTTGGTAGCGAGTCTTGAACTCTGGTGGCACGTGGGGCTGTCTAGGAAGGCAGCAAGCAAGAAGACTAGGGCGGATGCTGATCAAGCCGAAAGCACTGTCGTGACACCGAATATTTGCCAAGACGACGATCCTTGGACCCTGCTGCCGCACAAACGACTCGACGCAGCCACTAGCTCATAGACCTACACCGTAACTGCCCTTAATCAAACACTCACACATCCACCTGCGGTGCAATTACACAGTGAAAAGGATATGTGAAGTACTTATTGTAATTTGTTTTCCAAAAAAACCTAAATACTTTAGCCTGGATATTTTGGGTAATCGTGAATACTGGGTTGTGTTTTATATGAAAGAGAATCCACAGACTAGCTACGGTAAGATTCAATGATTATGCACGTGTGCACTAAGACCCATTCAGACGCAGCCAAGTAAATTATCGATGCGTCAAACTCCACGCATGATGTTGTGGAAGGAAAGGAAGGAAGGGTCAAAAAGAACGTTGTATTGATCGGTTCAAGGAATAGAGCAGAGGGCTATTAGCAACAACGACCTCCAAAACCACCGCAGTTCCATCCACAACCGCCTCTGAAGCCACAGCATCCACCACCACCGCCACCACAACAGCCGCCTCCAAAGCCACACCAGTTGAAGTCGTAGCAGCCGCAACAAGGTCCGCTGCAGATGCAGGGACATCTACAAGCCAACAAAAAGGGAGGTGATGACGATAGCTGAAGACGTAATGTTCACCAGAGAATTGTCATGACGCCAGATTCACTGCCGATAGAATCGCTTAATCTGATTTTTCACACACTGTCAAGATCACTTAACGCTAGCAGGTTGTGTACCTGAACGACAGAGGCAGTAGCAATGCGCACGAAATCTGCTGACTGTCAATAGATCCAAACCCACGTAATTCAACGAAATGTGTAAATAAACTAACTAATCGCGTTGCTGGTTTCTGATTGGCTGGACTATTCATTGATATTTGAACTTCATCGTTTCAAATTTTACACTAAGACAATCAATGGATTGAGTTAAAAACCTCGGCTGTACTTCGTTTCAGTGGATCCTATTGGGCGTCTTTTAACATAAATCAACGAAAATTATCTGAAAATTAATGTGTCCGTGCTTCCTGAGGCTCTATAAAAGACAACAGACATCTAATCTGAGAATTGGAGGGCATAATCAACTTTGAATCAGGAAAAATTAGTGAAACAGCAGTGCAACCACGAGTTATCTCGCCAGAACTGCTGACACACGTATAGTTCAGACACAAAGCATTGTTAATCACGCAAACGTTGTTTAGAAATGTGGTGTCAGTGAACGTACCCATTCCAGTAGCCTCCACAACAAACCATCTTGAGTGTCGACGTTGGTTAGTGACTGAGTGGAAGCGCTACTGATGCGCCCACGTATTTAAACTTGCTTTGTTTCCCACCGAAAAGTACAGACGCGCACAACTTGTGCGAAGTCCACCATTTTCTCGTCCTTCCTCTGGCTTAATCGCTGATCTGAAGTGTCCCGATTAGTGTGAATCGCCAGAATCGGCGGATTAAACTGCGCACACGAAAGCGTTTGTTGTAAACGACGACTAAGAAAAACTTTGCAGGCTTCATGTCTATTCTCATCTGTGTCACCAGCTGTCTGTAAACTGATTAATGAACACCGTAAATAGATAAGTCTAGTTTTTACTTTTGCTTGGAAGAGAAGCCAATCGCCGTCAAGGTGTGGAATAATGAGGTCCAACATTGGTTCAGCATGATTTCTAAAATCCCTAATGCCAAATTGTGCAACAGACAACTCTAAGTAGCTTCCGAAATTTGAATGCCACGTTCTCACAAGCCAGCAGTTTCAGACCAAATGGAGTTAAGCATCCTACATTTTAATAATGAGTGCCTTGCAGATTGCAACTGCTGGTCTCATTTGAATGCTGGCGGCCTCACCCCACCCTTTAATAATGTGTCTGCCTAACTTTCACAACGTGGTGATCAAAGACGCGGTTTTGAGAGTCTTTAATCCTGGTTAGGTATCGAGCCATCTAAAATATTTTTATTGCACATCAACAAACGGACCTATTCTCAACACAGCACGGGGTGAAAGTTGACTATCGTTACTTGTGTATCCTGACTAAGATCTCGCGTTCTGCTCTTCCTACACACCTCAATCACCGCACATACTTTCACGATGCAAAATCAGTGTCTTTAGCTCATGAAATGAGCGTAGTCTGTGAGAGGTTTACAAAAATTCATGAAACTGAATCATCGATAATGAATGTTCTCTGCCTTTTTGAGGTGTTTCGGCTAAAGCCTTGCATGGATCGTGAAGACGATAATTCTCATCCCAGGTTAATTCAATGACTTCAAGAAAGGCTCGGATTCAACCATTTGGTTGGCTCTGCATATCAATGAAGGCGTTATATTAAGTGACATACAACAGCATTTAAATAGACGCGTTAGATATGAGACAAGTCATGAATTCAATGGTCTGAAAATGCTAAAATATTTACATAAGGAAAGGATTTGGGGGTGAATTATAGCAGAGGCTAGCGAGGTCAATGTACGACACAATACAAGCAAGAGATCGATTTGTCTGACACTTCCACCACACCTTCCACAGGACCATTAGAATGTTCCTATAAGGAGGAGAGCTTGCTAGAGCTGAAATGATTTGGCGCTTTTTTTACGCGTCCATCACATCGCTGGAGCGGAGCTTTAAACTTGATTCACACCTGGCGTGGATGCTCTCCGATATCCATGGGCTGACCGGTTTCAATGGAGTTCCCCACTGAATGCGATTAGTGAAATTTAAACGCAAACAGATTTGGCCTCTTAGAATTCATTTGAGGTCCTCGTGTATCGTCCGTGCGTTTATTCAAGAAATCAGTCTAATTTACTCATAAACCTTCCTACCAAGCTGCTATATCCTACTGTAATTCAGAGGTAAACATGTGAATGAGTGTGCAAACACAATTCGTGAAATCTGTGGAATGTGTCCGAGGTGAGGGTTTGAAGGCTTGTCCAAATGTAGAGGCTTCCACTGACGGACGTGTTCGGCAATGCGACAGATGGCTTGATGACTGTGGTGGACCTTCACACAAGGAAGTAAATTGAATTCGACTTGGTAACTGACGAGTCCTTCTCTAGAACTAACATTTTGGCAGCTGGTAAATCATGAAGGGGTCTGTAGACGACTTTGAAGTGTTTACGTGAAGTGAGAATTGACGATTTGGTCGAGCACGTGACTGACGCTAAGATAGAAGGCCGATTTACAGCATCAGAAATTCTTAGACCTGACACGCAACGACTTAAAAGAATCTCATTTGCAAAATCTTGGGATGATTTATGCACTGATTCAGCGATATTTCTAAACGACTGTGCTTGGCTTGAAGACGCGTTCAAATAAAGGCGGTAAAATGTACATCAATTTTTAACTTTTAAGGAGATTTGGAGCGAATTGTGTCAAAGGAGGTGGTGGAATGGTTTCAACCGGAAATTGAAATAGGTGCTCACGAAAATACGGCGAAGGGCCGATTTGAGGCGTCAGAAACTGTCCATGGTTACAACCTGGCTTCTCTAATTACTAACTGCCAACCAGTTGCTTTCCAATTTTACGGCCTAACTACCCCTTAACCCTTCTTCCTCTTGCGTATCGTCTTTATCCGTTTGATCTCTTAAAAGAACCAGTGATCAATTCCTCTGTTGCCGTTATGGACTCAAGCAGCTAGCGAAGACAAGGAGTACTAATGCTGGTGGTGTGATTCACTAAGCGTTTGTGGTGCTTGTATCCCCTATGCTATCTGATTTGCAGTTGAACAAATCAGTTATCATCCAAAACGTTGGATTTGAAGCGTTGGAACGCACGCCGTGTAGATTCTGCACGAATTAAGTGCTCAATTGGGCAGTAGAACAGTCAAATTGGGGTGTCTAGCAGTCTGCGCCAACAAAGAAATCGATTGATATGCACGGGAACAGCCGATTTCGCTTCCCTGTGGTAACATTTGAAATGACTGCCATCCACAGTTGGTTCTTGAGTAAATTAAAACAAGCAGCCAACACTGCTGCACACCATCGATGAACTCACAACCTCGCTAGAGTGAGCTTTAGTGGAACGGCCAACACTGCAGCAGGTGGAGTAACTGCATAGGAAGATCCTGGCTTCGTTTACATCCTGGCCCAACTGCTTACCAACATGTAGGTACCAGTTTTAGAGTTTTAAGTCACAACGTGTAAGCGGCGGTCATTTGCAACGTGGAATACGTTGCACATACCCCCTTTTAGAAAACAGATTACCTCTAAATACTGTAATTCACTTTCCCGAAACTACATGTTCCAAATTTCCAACCTCTTTTGTGTGTATGCACACCATTCTTGCATTTAAATCGGCCGCCTACTTCCTATTGGTTGATGCATCTTTGAGCGTACTGTTAATCTGAACCGCGCTTAAGGCCCACCAAGACAACCAAATGTGGGCGAATCCGTTGACGTGCTAGACAGAGGGCTCTCTGGGCTTTGTGTCTGTGCGTCAGTGGACCGTCACAATTTCTTTAAACGAGCAATAGTTTCGGTAAAATTCGCCTACCTACGATGCTAATTAACTATATGCACGATTCGGTAGCTGATTGTCATCACAATTTGACACGGGAAATCCAGGCACGCCAGTGAATCCAGGGTCGTTTGTTCGCGTCGACGAGACACGAATTACCTTGGAATTCTGACTCTGGCTCAGGAATTTCGCGACACTTTCCACCAATTCCAGACTAAATAGATGATCGTCTCTTCTGCCGACAGCCCACCCCTTCACCCCACCATGTTCTCGGTTGGTTACGGACTGTACACAAGCAGGACAATAGATCAGTGTAGGCGGGTGAACGGTTTGTCTAGGTCTAAGTGCCGGCTCCTATTCTCTGCGTTAGGTTAAATTCACAATTAGTTTATCATTGTGGGCTGTGGAAACATAGTGACAAACCTTCTTCGTTCACTGTCAAATGCTCTACTTTCGCCGTAAGTTATTTGCATTAACTGATTTGCCCGCAAAATCTCATGGAAGGACAAGAAGACGGAGTAGGCAAGGAGGCTGTATTGATAAGTTAATGTGACAGAGGAGAGGGCTATTAGCAACAACGACCTCCAAAACCACCGCAGTTCCATCCACAACCGCCTCTGAAACCACAGCATCCACCACCACTGCCACCACAACAGCCGCCTCCAAAGCCACACCAGTTGAAGTCGTAGCAGCCGCAACAAGGTCCACTGCAGATGCAGGGACATCTACAAGCCAACAAAAAGGGAGTTGATAATGGTGATGATGATGTCAATGATCGAGGTGGTTGTGTGTGCGTAAGCAGTGTCATGTCAGTAGGTTCACCGTCATCACTCCGCTTAACCTCATTCTGTCAAAATCATGTGTACCTCGACAATAGGATAATGGAAATGTACGGAACAGCTTGTGTTCGTGAAAGGACCTTAAATCGTACAATTGCGCAAAATGTGTGCTGACGGAATGCTCAATAGCGCTGATGGCTTCTGATTTGCTGGACGGTTAATCGATATGTGAACCGCCTGAAGTCCCACCTACGTCTTCCAACTGAACTTGTGATGGATTTTATGACCAGGCGATCAAATCTGGAGTTGATCTTGAAGTGCCATCATCACCAGTGATTGAAACGACGGCGATGAAACAGTAATTCTAGCTGAATCAATCAATATAGATGCATACAAATTACGGTCATAGAGCACTGGTAATTACGAAACCGTTGGTAAACAGGGTGATGTGGAAGACGACTTAATCCAGAAGTGGACGTACCTATTCCAGTAGCCTCCACAACAGGTCATCTTGGTAGTCGCCGATACGTCAGTGACTGAGTGAGAGCACCGGTGCATGAAGGTATTTAAGACTGCTGTCTTTCTCACCGAAAAGTACAAGTGCGCATATTTTTCTGTGGTCTGATCGGCCATCTGAGGTGTCCCGAATCGGTGAGCTAAACTCCGCACACAAGAGCTGCCGCCGTTGCGAATGTCGTAAGAGAGAAATCATGGCGACGGCTATGGTTCCATTAAAGTTTATTCAATAAAACGACGCCTTCCATGGAAATGTACATAAGAAAGGCCGTGTATCACAATAACACGGGCGTTTACGCAACTGAAAAGTGCTCTGCTTACTAGAATTGAGTTCATTTATTTGCGTGGACAGAAGCCAATAACAAAAGGCGTGAGGCAATGGTACACGCGGACCCTCATGCACGCATCACTGACGCGAGGTGGCTGTCAGCCCACTACACGTCCATTGCGTGCTAGAGCTCTAGTGAATGGTATCTGTCATCTCCGGTTAGATCTATTCATGATCTGCTGTATGATCTGAGAGGTCAACAAGAATTTTCGACATTGATCACG